ATCTGTCACATTGGCTATAAGGCTTATTTGCAAATGAAATTAGTAATAAAGTAAAAACATCTGAAATTGAATTAAAATATGTAAATTAAGTACAAAGAAAAGGATTATTTAAATACAAAAGTATTTTCATATTTATTTTATTACTATTAAAGCCTGGAGTAATAACTCACAACAATAAAGAAGTTGTAGCTGATAAAGACAATAATTTTATTTATTTATCATTAAAATCTGGAGTACGTAATTCATGATATTTTTTACCAAAATTTTTTTCATGTTTTTAGGTTTCTAGGTGTATTATTATTAATGTAGATACAACTAGGCCTAATGGCAACAATCAGCTTGACAGACCTACAACAGTTTATAATTTTTTAATGTTTAATATATAACATGGATCTTATTATTTATTATAAAATTTAACGTGCTTTTCTGCACTCAGCAATAAGTCTGAGGACTTTTTTTTTAACTTTAAAAACTGGATGTTTGATATCAGAAGTGGGCATTGCACAGATAGCCCAATGTGTAGCTCTGTATTTAAAAACAAAAACAAAAGCATTTAATGTATAATGTATTTTATTGAGTATTTAACTTGCACATAATTAATGTAGAATTTATAATATTCAATGTATTACATAGCATCTAAATTATAAAAGCCAGGAATTTTCTCATGGTAAATCTCCTTTGTTATTTAAAAAGTAAAAAAGACATACTACTTAAATCAAATTGAATTGGCATTATTATTATTATTATTATTATACCTGTGTTAATTAAACTCCTCAACTGTGTATAGAAAGAATAGTATTAAAATTGTTTTATTTACATTGGTTACTTAGTGTCATAAAAAAACTTTATGATAAATCTCCCTTGTTATTTAAAAAGTAAAAAGACATACTACTTAAATCAAATTGAATTGGCATTATTATTATTAGAATTATTATTATTATTATACCTGTGTTAATTAAACTCCTCAACTGTGTATAGAAAGAATAGTATTAGAATTGTTTTATTTACATTGGTTACTTAGTGTCTTAAAAAAATAAAAAAACTTAGTAATAAATAATCGTAATGTAAAAATGGTTGCTGCTGGAACTTTGTTTCTTTGTGGTTCATGGGACTATTTATTATCCTGTAGTCATTATTGTTTTAAGATTATTGACTTGCATATTTCAGGTGTCTGATTTTGGTCTTGCAAGGGAGGAATCTTTTAATTTGGAAGGAGGAAAGTTTCCTATCAAATGGACTGCACCAGAAGCTCTGAAATACAGTGTAAGCTATGTGCTGTAGCAGAACTGTTTGTTAAGTAACAAATATAATGCGTCTTAATTACTTAGCTGTTACATTTAACAAATACAAGTTGGGCTGTGAGATAACTGATTTAATAACAGTGTTTTTCAGACACAGAGCTAGTGCAAGGTGTGTAATTTTTAAATCTGTTGCATGTTGTATGGATGTGTTTTTAAAGTGCCTAAAATCTGCAGTTTGGATAAAATGTGTGGCATGTTAAATATGTAATAAGATCCTTGAGTTTTATGTATTTATAATATTTATTGTATAACATGGTATGTAAATTAGAAAAGGCATGTGTATTTCATGTACCCGAGTAGATGTATGGCAGGTTGTGTAATGTCAAAGATGTACATGTGGCATCAGTGCTGTATGACATGTAATCAGTTCCTTAAAGATTACTATAGAAGTCACAGAAGAGTATAGTTTGTGCTGTGCAAAATTTAAACATGTCATTTCTTTTCCCTCTTATTAGAAATTTTCCAATAAATCAGATATGTGGAGTTTTGGAATTCTTCTATGGGAAATTTATTCTTTTGGTAGAGTGCCTTATCCGAGAATTGTAAGTCTGTTATTTCTTTTTATTTAGTGCATGAAGTAGAATGCTAAAGTTATTTGTATCTATATTTTCTTAATATGATATTTAATACATTAATATTAGTAATGTATTTTTTGAAGTAACTATATTATTATTTAACCTTTAAATTATCTACTTATTGTCTGTTAAGACAGTTTTTATAAAGAAACAAAACATTGGGTGAAATCACTCATTTTATACATAAAGTAAAGAGCAAACTCCAGCAGTAATTAATGTGATTACTTTCAATACTGACAGTATTCTTTTTGTGTGATTCATATGTTAGTAGGGACCCTGTAACCAACAAAGTCAAGCAGTTTGGTATGTGAATAGTTTTGAAAAATGTGTTGAAGAAGTTACTGTTTTCCACTTCTAATTTAGGGTTGAATAATTAAAAGTGTATTTGAACTTGAATATGTTTTTTGGGAAGATTGAGAAAGTAGTCTGTTTGAAACTTGTATATTCTGTGAGTTTTGTTTGAAACTTACATGTTCTGTTAGTTTTGTTATTACTCTTTGGAGCAATTTTCATGCTATATAGTTATTTATTGGGTAAGTGTTAAGTGTTTCAAATTGCTTTTTTTTGTTTAATTTATTATAATATAATTTAGAGTTTTTTTTCTAACTAATTAAAGTCTTCTCCTAAGATACTTATAGGTTATATTGTACTTCTGTTTCAGCCACTGGCCGATGTAGTCAAACATATAGAAAAAGGGTATCGTATGGAAGCTCCTGAGGGTTGCTCTCCAGAGGTCTATGAGATTATGCGACAGTCTTGGGATTTAGATCCAAACAAACGTCCGTCTTTTACAGAGATTTTAAAGAGACTAGAGCACTTACGATCTTTGACATTCTGAATAGTTAAAATGGTTGGTAAGTAAATAATGGGTTTGAACTCTTATAAAAAAAAGTTCATGATTAGGTTTAACTCTAGTTTTAAAGTAGTATGCTTTAAAATGTGTAGTTGAAGATTTCATTATTGTGGATTATATTTGAACTTCTTTAGTTGACAGAATGTAGTGGAAGTTACGTCAAGTAATGTTTTAGAAACTTAGTATGAAGAAATTATGGATAATTGTATGATAAAACTAGAACAGAATGGCATTAGTCCAGTTGAAGTTAGTCCCAAATATGTTTTAGAACTACATTTTGTGAAGATTTTTCATCCCATTGAGTTTTATTCACCAAATGATTTTTTGTATGTAATAATGCCAATTTTGGGCAAACTGAATAGCAGATATTTCAGGAAAATAGACTGCTTGATAATAATTTAATTTTCTCTCATTAAGCTTCCCAAAACTCTCAAATATTTCAGAATCACAAGTCTTTTGATTACAGAATTATGAAGTATTAATGTAAAGAAAAATACAATTAAAACCTTTAATGCACTCTTTGTTAAGTAGTACACAGGTGAAAGAATTGGCACTAGAAAATCAAAAGCTATAAGAATTTTGTATTAAAAAGAAGAAAATTAGGCCTGATGCAGATTGATTATCATAGATCATGAAATACCTTACTTTGGTTATTATTTTGCCCTTAACATTACAACTTATTTAGCAAATATATTAATTATATTCTATAAGTTATATACTTATTTATTTCTGTATTGCCTTGACATTATGATACTTCAACATCAATAAAATGTATATTAAAAGTGGAAGCTATAAGGACATAAAATTAGGTTTACTAACATTTTTATCAAAATAAGTGATAAAATGTTAATTCTGTTAAGGTCCAGGATACAGATTTTATGTAAAGATGAGATCACAGAATGTTAGAAATTGTGCCAACATCAGATGGCAGAATAATGGGTCTGTTATAATAATGGTATAGAATAAAAGAATGTTTCTTGTGTTCAGGTGACAGAATAATACAAATGTTGAATTAAACTGGCAAAGTAGTAACATTTCTGTCAGGATGAGGTTACATAATGCTAAAAGTTCTGCTAATATTAGGTGATAGGACAAAAGGTCTGTTAAAATTAGGTGTCTGAAATATATGAAGGTTAATTAGTGACAGAGTGCTAGATATGTCAAGTTTGGTATGAGAGTACTAGATATATCAAGGTTATGTGTCAGAGTACTAGCTGTATCAAGATTAAGTGCTAGAGTACTAGATGTATCAAGATTAGGCACCATAGTACTAGAGATATAAAAGTTAGGTGTCAAGTACTAGATTTATCAAAATTAGGTATCAAAGTACTTTAAATCATATCCGCCGAATGAAATTTTAGGACAGAAATTCATTGTGATCCCTCTAAATGTTTCTTTTTTTTCCAGTTAGATTTAATTATGACAGCAATAATTTATGTTGTGTCAGACATCTCTCTTTTCTTCCAAGAAAATAATTCACCTCCACTCATACAAATGCTATTTCCCTTTCTCGTCTACTTATGAGATTTGCATGCCACTAGCCTTGAGTTAACTCCCATCTAATTTAATGTGTTTAACGTGAACTGAGCTGGTGCATGATAGTGTCATCATGCTACAATAGCCCTCCAACAATAGATGGGTAACACAACCTCCATGCACATTTACTCCCCCTATGTACTTGCACTCATAATAACTTCATTCTTTTCCTCAGCATTACTTTAAACAGATGTGTTCAAATTTCTCGTCAAAGTCTAATTTGATGAGAGTTGTGTTCATTAAGGATGTTTTGGATTTTCTTTTACATTGGCTTTTGTTTCAAAAGTATTGATTATTATCTTGAATACTTAAATGATGGTGACTTCTAAATAGTCCTGTGTGAGTGACGATATTACACATGCTGGCCCCATTTCTGCTATGGCTTCTAGAAGCTTATTAACTGTTGGGGACATTGCAGCCCTTTTTCAATGTGTTGTGGATTACCACATGTTTACCAGGCTTTCTACTCCCATCCCTTTAGTTGACCTTCTTACTTGTCACTTGTGAATGGCGTATTAAACAACGAATTTAACCTGATATTGCTTTACCATTTGAGGAATGATCTTAATCTTCCAATATCTTTTTGAATACATTCTCAGTTATAATCCTTTTGTTATCTTTCACCTGTGTCCTTTCAAATTGCCTGTTCTTCACTCCATGAACCCAATTTTTGATATTGCTTTAGTCTTTCCTTTTTACTTGTAATTAGGCTTTATCTTGTTTATTTGTTCTAATTCACACCCATATCTTTTGTCTGTTTCTCACGAGAGACCTGGACTGTGGTTGCCCAACTTCAGTCCTTGTTTTCTTCCCAGAGTTTTCTTCTTTATTGACCTTGCCCTTTGCTCCTATTCCTCGTCTGGATCAGTCCACCCATACCCTGTTTGCTCGTCTTCCTATTTCCTTTTCTCCTCCCTCTGATCCTATCTCTGGTGTACTTCACCTGGTCTGCAGCAGGTCATGGCTGATATGTTGAACACCTTCCTACATACCCCTATTTCCTTGTCCGTCAGATGTTTTCTACATTCCATCCATCATACTTGCATCTTCCAATTACCTGCTCTTCCCCTTGACATAGCATTGGTCCCATTTATATTCATTTGAATCATAAGGGCATTCACGTATGCCATTTTCATGGCTTGAGGCTGTCAATCCTTTTCTTGGATGATTGGCTTCTGTTGGCCAATTATAAGAAGGTATCCTCTTTTCACACCCCTCTTCTTTTGCAGGAGACTACTTGGTTGGGATGGTTTGTCAAAATATCCAAATCTGTTCTCATGCCTACTCAATATTTGGTACATCTGGGCATTTTCTTTATCTCTTGTTTCAGCTGAGTTCAGCCTACTATTCTTTGCCTGTGAACTATGGAGTATGTGGTCACCATAATTTGTGCTTCTCATTCTCATCCTATATGAGGGGTTTCTCTGCTTTCGACTCAGGCTTCCCTGGTAGCCCTCATTTCTTTGGGGCATGCACATATGTGCCTACTCCAGTGGATCTTGTGGAACCAATGGATTCTTTCTTTCTTGGGTTCTGCTGTCCTTGATTGTGCACCTTCCCTTTCCTCTCATCAAGGAATTTTCATTTCGACATCTGTGCTATTGTTGCTTTTTACACACTTTTCCACAATAGTTCTATACTCCTCTATCCATCTATACTCCTCTCTTATCTCCCTTCCTTCTATCTCTCATCCCTATGATCATTCAAACCTGGATCAACTCCTACATCCTGTTTGGGGTGTTCATTAGTACTTATTATGAACATCTTTTCAAGGTTTTCACTATCAACTGTTCCTCCCCTCCGACCCCTCTTCTTCCAGTGACCTCTCTCCTTTTTTCCTTACTGGATGGGTGTGTCAACTTCTCTGATTGGTATAATCTTTCCTGGATGTAGATGTTCACATGCTAATTCATTCACATTTCTGTACAATTGATTCCTCTCCCTTTTCATTTTTGCTGGCCCTAGGATGAGGTCCTCCAGGCAGGCATGCAGATGACTTCCAACACATTTGTTGCTCATTACCTTCACAATCTGGCTGTTTCATTTCTTGCAAAATTTTGATTTCCATTTCAACCCACCATCTTTGAAATGGGTAAGCGTGTTTCCCTTTCATCACTTTCCTTTTCCATTGAACACAGGGAAGGCAGAGTTCTGTCTCAGGATAGATTTCCTTCAATTGAAACAAATTATAAATTGTTAAATTAAGAATCCGACTTCTAAATTTCAATACCCAAAACTATTGGACAAATGGCTACTACAAATGTTGAAACATTTACCGATATGCAACATTGGAAAACTTTTGGAAATATTGTAAACCAGTATGTATATATTAATAATATAGTTGATCAGTGGTTTTCTAAAGTGTAGTATGCATCAAACCTTTACCTATAACCTTAACCTATTACAACATAACTTAGTTGTAAGTTATAAAACTAAAGTCTAATGTTAACTTTAACAACGATGTCATTGTAAGCATGGTAAAGTTAGGTACTAAGAAGGCTTACCTGCCTACATGCTTAGTAAGCCTATAAGGTCTTAATGCCAATAATATGGGCCTAACCCAAAAGTCCTAGACTATATATAACAGTATTTTAACATAAATCTACATCATAATTCCATTATTTTAGTAGTGCCTAAGAATTTAGTGATATTTTTTTCCATTTGGATTTAGCATAAAAAATACTGGAAGCCTGAGATCTTGAGTCTCAATTCTGTGTATTACATCTCCTGAGCCAAAGTATTACTTAAAGAATAACTTAGTTGATGTATATGATCTTTTAACAACACAATTCTCTGAGCAATAGGCTCCAGATAATGACTCTGATTACATTTTAGAGTGTAAAAGCTGTTCAGCTCACTTTCCCTATATCTCTTCTCTGAGTGTTTTCAGTTAATTCAACTTCTCTCTGCTGCTATTTCTGTGAACACAATCCAGCCAGATGGCTGGTGTTGCCTCCTAGAGTATGCTCATTTTCCCAAATCATCATTGAGCCAGAATAACAGAAAGTGTTCAGCCCATCTGCCCTGACTTTACCAGTGCCCACTGTGAGATGGGATGTTCTTCAAGACCATTTAAGGTATCCTTGTGGTATACAAATTTAAGCAATTGTCTGATCCAAAGTGTACTGATCCCATGGAATATCATGGAAAAAGTTGGTACCAGGGTAGGGATTGCTCACTTTTAAAAATAGGGTTTTGCAGTCACCTATTGCATGATTTCCAGTAAAAGACCTTTCTAGCTGGTGATCCAGTGGGGGTCTTGCCACTTTTCTCGGTCTACCCAGTGCAAGTCTCCCTCTTATTCAAGTGAAGCACTAGAGACCCTTACCACTTACCAGGCCCATGGTCAGGTGGTTAGGGTGCTTGACTTGTAATCTGAGGGTCGTGGGTTTGAATTCATGCCCCACCAAACATGCTTGCCCTTTCAGCCATAAGGGCATTATAAAGTGATGGTCAAACTCATTATTCATTGGTAAAAGAGTAGTCCAAGAGTTAGCAGTGGGTGGTGATAACTAGCTGCCTTCCCTCTAGTCTTTCACTGTTAAATTAGGGATGGCTAGTGCAGTTAGCCTTCATGTAGCTTTGCACGAAATTCAAAACAAACCAAAACACCAGATCCTGGCTTCTGGTGTGGTGGACCTTGGAGAATCCTCATTGATTGGGCTTAGCACAATGAGAAATAGGGCAGTGGTGACACTGTCAGTGTAGTACAGGTCACTCCTCACACAGCTAATGTGCCCTCCTCCTCCTGCAGTCAGAGTTTGTCCAGTAGTGTCGAGGTGAGCATACACAGTATGGTCTGATTGCACTCTAACCACACTACACATATTGGCTTGCTGATCACTTTTGTTCAGGTGCTTAATTGGTCATGATCACATTCCACCAATCCCTGTGATACTTCAGACTCTTTTAGCTTTCCTTCCTTTTCATTTTGGGCAAAGAGTATATCCTGGTTGAGACAATGTGGGGTCTCCCATAGGCATGCACCTAATTAGCTCCTGCTATTGGATGTTTAACTCCGTGGACATTCCCTTTGGGTGTTTTTTGAAGGAGGATCATCTAGGTTTAATTATTGCACCAGCCTCTCTTCATTGTTGGATTTGATCATTTCTGTGTGTGGAGGAGAGTTATAGTTAACATTTTCCTAATATGAAAATATATTTCCAATAGATACTCACCTCTGTACACATTCCCACCCATCCTTCTCACTTACAGTGGACTTTTTTCCTTGCCTTATCAAAGAATGTAGTTATCAGAAGTGCAAGTGCATAGGGAGAGTTACTGTGCATGGAGGTTTTGTCGCCTTACTGTTGGTGGAGAGCTATTGTTGCATGATGACGTCATCATGTGCCAGTGCAGTTCACATTAAACATGTATCTATCAGAAATATATTTTCACATTAGGAAAATTTTAATTTCAGTTGGAAGAAAAAAATGTTTCTCATAAAAAATTCTAAATTTCTGTTTTTTTCAGCAGAACTGCATTGTAGATATAAATTAAAAACAAGAGTGATTGTTTAACATTGAAGGTGCCTTTTTTTTTTAATTATTGAAGATTTTGTGGAAGCTGTAACAATATTTTTTTTTGCAGGGAAATTTTGTGAAGTGATTCTCCCAAGTTCAACTTTGAAATTTTGTGGAAGCAAGTTTCTAGTACTAACTGGGCAGTATGTGCCTTATAGAAGTGAAGGAAACATTGGTGTTTGCCAGTAATATAATAAAGATCCAGCATGTAATACCGAGGCTTTGAATGTGCTGGGGAATTTTGTTTCTCCTACTAAAAACACTTTGATTTGTAATATACAAAAGTATGGTTGATTTTTGTTTTGTGGTGTGTAATTTATTACAATAAAGAGCATGAAATGATGAAATTATTAAAACTCCCATTTTGCAGTTTTTTTTCAATATAAATGTGAAAGCTTATTAAAACCTTTTTTCTTCTCCTAATTATTTAAACTATCATATAATAGATATTATTTGCCGGTTTTCTTCTTTTGTTACCAAAGCTACTTATATGAATATGAAAGTGCATCCTCCCATTACACTGTTAATGTTTAAAGCAACTCCATTTTTTGTTTTGTTTTTAATTGTACATATCAAGTGTTTGTGATAATTCCAAACTGTTTAATATTTTGTATTACGTATAAGAATGGTAAATTTAAATGTGTGTGTGTGTATTGCAGTCAGGAATTAGCTATACTTTGTTTTATTAGTTGATTATATTTTATGCAGTTCTCATTTTTCTCTTTCTTTTTATCTTTACAATAGAAGTCTTCCAAGTCTTTCTTTGTATTTAAGATACTTATATTTTGTGCTTTATCAGTAAATACAATTTGTAATGAGCAGAAAAGAAATTTTTGAACAGACTGGTAATAACAGTTTTCTGAACTAATTTATGAAAGGTGTTAACCAGAATTAATAGTGTATAAAAAATGCTGTAATTAATATTTAGCAGATGTAAAATGAGCTAAGCTATTTTTTATATGAAATTTAATTGTATTAATATATGAAGGTAGAATAGTCAAAAAATGACTATTTTGACACTATATTCATTTTCATCAGTTGTTAGTTTTAACAAGTTTTTTAATAAAAAGGTGATAAGAAAGAACATTACATCATAATCTCAGAAATTACTCTTGACTTTGTATACAAGGCTTTTTATTCTGCTTTTCCTCTATAAATATATCACAATAATGCTGAAAATGGACATTTTGATATGATTTTTTTAGAATATTTTACGTATTAATGATGTGGTAAATAATCATTTTTGTTAATAATGTTCTGTCATAAATAGCCAAGTTTACTGGGGCCTCACAAAATACAGTATGAAATTATGTATGTATTGTAAACTGGATTTATGCTTTAGTAATTTACACTTAATTTTACTAAAATAATTGTTTTAAGTATTTGAATGAAGAGAAGGTGCTTTTTTCAACTATGATATATAAGGCCAGCTATTTAGTATTAGGAAGGATTTGTTTGTGAAATTTTTAAAGGCCTAAACTAATAAAAACTTCAAATATTAAATAGCTTTAAAATTTTGAGATTTCGATATATTGGACAGGAAGTTTTGGTAACTGGTTAGCATGTTCATAACTTGATGTCCCCAAATTGAAAGGTTAGAATAATTTTAAGACAAAATAGAAGCATGAGATGAGTGTGCTTAGAATTTTAACAAGTACAGTTTCTCCTCAAAAATACTGTCTTTGCTATGATTCAGTCTAAACTATCTCAGCTTGATTGGTGTCAAAATTAAGTTTCCATGAAGTATCAATAATAGCTGCTAATTAAGGCATGTGGACATTTGGTACTTGGTAAAGTTCAGGCATTTATGGCAGAGATATTGTAATGTGTATATTAAGAAATAGTTAAGAAAGTATTTGCTACTTGTTTGTGTTTACTATATTTAACAAGTCTTAGTGTTGCGTTAAATGGTTATAAATAGATACAATACCCATTCTCTTAAACCATGACAGCATTTTTAGTTTGTTTCATTTCAATGTAAACCTGTTTAATTGAGAAGTTTAGTCTTGTGGGTACTGTGATTAGATCTTGTTTTTTTTTTCTGTCAGTTTTCATAAGAGATTAAAACTCTTGGTATTGATGATGGTTATGTAAAATGTTTCTCTACAAGGTAAATATACTTAGAAGTAGTTCAATTATGTTCACTGTTTTTACTGTCATCCTTGTCCTGTTCATCTGTGTTTATTTCTTTCTGTACTTTGAAAAAAAAAATGTTATGATACAGTATTTAATTTACACAAAGCACGTAGTTTAACACAAGTTTTAGTCGGTATTTATAGCTATGAAAATATGTGATGAAAATTAATTACAGGAGAAAGAAGTTTTAATACATTCACTCTTTTCTTTGTTTATGTTTTATTTAAAAAAATATGGGTTTCAATGGATGCTGACTAATGAACAGTTATCAAGTGTTACGATGCTTTAAAAGTGTTGGATTAAAAGCTTAAATCCTCCTTTCAGTGTTTCATTATTGAGAGTTTAATTTTTTTTCTCAATGTCTTGCTTGACATAGAGGACCTGAAAGTAAATTTAATATGCTAGATTGCATTAGCCCCCTCCCCAATTTACTCAGCTGTGAACTAATGATGATACATTTTCATATTAAAAAGAAAACAAAAATTTTGTGCAAGTACAACATGCTTATTTGTTGGTTCTGATTAACGAAAAAAGTTCACTATTTCACTAGAATCAAATATGTGATCATTTCAGTTACTTTTATAAAATATATATATTTACAAAATGAGGAATGAGACTTAGCTGCCATTTGGTAGATTTCAACTATTTCAGTACTCAAATTGACCATCTACCCAATTTGTTTAAACTGGGCAAGAAAAATGACGATCAGATTTGTAACAAAATTTTCAAATTTAATAATGAATTTTTATTAGAAATGAAAACGTGCTACCATTGTATTAACTGATGTAAATTTCAAAATTATTTCCAGTCTCAAAAGTGCTATTATCATTTTAAGGTGATCTGAAAAGAATCTTGTCATGTTTTGTACTGAATTTATGTCTTTTTTTTTGTAAAGTATTACATTCATGTTTAGTATGCATTTTAAGTCAAAAGCTTGTTATTAAAAATAAAAAATAAGTTTTATTTCAGCTAAATTTTATGATATAGTAAGGCATATTTATACTTAAATGCATGTGAGAAATACTTCAGCAGATTTCACAGAATAAATGGAGAGGAAATTATAACCAAATTTTGTGTCTTATTGATCCAATGTATTGTGTGCCAAAACGTACTGAAAACATTATTGTCACAATGCATAAAAAGTTCAGCATGTATCAATTTCCTTTAGACTTAAAGTAAAAGAAAAGACAAGAGTTTTATTCATGAACACACATTATATATTTCATATCTGTCTTTTAAAAGACAGTTTGTGAATGATTGATCAGTAATTTGCCCTCCTAGAAAATGATTTATTAAAGTGTTGTCTTAATATTCTATGAAATAACCAGTTTGTACTTAACTGGTCTAATCATTGTAATTATGTTCAAACGCTTGTATGCAGTATCTGTTTAAATATTTAGTTAAAAGCAGTTTGTATGCTCTGTGATTTTGATAATTGGAACATAAACTAAAGTTGGCACAAAGTGAAATGTTTACTGATTATCCTAGCAATAAATAATATAAATATGTAGTCTCTTAAAGTGGCTTGGAAATGCACCAGAGGGGTCTGCATGCACTCTGGATTATAACCCAGGACCAGCTAGAAGTTTCATTTGTTGTTTGTTCTTATCCTTGTAAGATGAGAACTTAGTTAAATTAGATGATAAACAATTATGAAATCAAAAAATATATAAAACAATTTAAATCACAAAAAGCGACAAGCCAGTGAATGGCTAAAGTAAGAATGTGGACTAATGTGACATCATAAACCAAACACTTCGTGGATGTATGCATTTGTTTGTTTGTTGTTGAATTGTTTGTAATGTGTCTAGCGCGATAATCGAAACTCAATGCGTCCATGACTACAGCGGTTGTTTTGACAGGTGGTAATCAAGGTATAAAGTTTATGACACTTTGGTGAAAACTGATAGTGGATAATATGGACTTAAATTAGGCGTTGAGTACATGTTAGCAGTGAGTTTGACATATTGGAGTGAGAGTGATTATTCACAGAGTAAACCTTTTAATACTTGGCTACTACGTTGGATTGATGTTAAATTATTCTGTAGAAGTTAATTGTTGAGTTTTCTTACATTTTAATAGTGCGTGCAAGATATCCAGTGACAATCAGCAAACACCTTTCTACACCTGTCATTGTAGAGCTAAAAACAGAAGGTACAAGAACATGTATGTGTGCGTGGGCTTTGGTTTACTTTTGTTACACTTGGTCATGAACCTTTTTAAGTAATAAAACAGAAAATCAATTACTTTAGTTAGGGCGCTTGACTCGCAACCTGGGATCGCGGGTTCGAATCCCATCACCGAAAATACTCACCTTTCAGCTTTTGGGCTGTGATAATGTAACGTTCAATCCCTTTCTTTGTTGGTAAAGAGTAGCCTAAGAGTTGGCGGTGGGTGGTGTTGACTAGCTATCTTCTAATCCATTACTTCAAGATTATTGACGGCTAGTGCAGATAGCCCTCGAGTAACGTTGCGCAAACTTCAACAAACAAACCATTTTAATTTTTGTATTTAGATCTCTTGTGTAAGTTATTCATACAAAAAGTCAGATATTGAACGAATTTGATATCGTACAAGGTCTAATCAGATGGGATCTATTTTCATGTGAGGAGTATGTGGCGGAATTTGCACTAGTAAATAGCCATTGAAGCTGTGGTGGATGAAGACACAGGAGATAAAAGTAAGAATAACCTTAGTATATATCATTGAAAGGAAAGAATGAATAAAAAACAAAAAAACACACACCTCTCAGTCAACTATCTTATGCTATAATAAATGAACAAATTTAAAAGCTGTGATCCTTCATTATTCATTTTTTTGTCCTCTGACCTTTATCTCAAAACAACTTAATACTGTTTTTGTTTAGAAAGAAGATCCAGGTGGTTAGGGCGCTCGACTCGCAATCTGAGGGTCACGGGTTCGAATCCCCGTCACACCAAACATGCTCGCCCTTTCAGCTGTGAGGGCGTTATAAAGTGACGGTCAATCCCACTATTCGTTGGTAAAAGAGTAGACCAAGAGTTAGCGGTGGGTGGTGATGACTAGCTGCCTTCCCTCTAGTCTTACACTGCTAAATTAGGGACGGCTAGCGCAGATAGCCCTCGTGTAGCTTTGCGCGAAATTCAAAAACAAACAAACAAACAGAAAGAAGACAGCTCCTGTAAATAAAACGTAAACAGTAGTAAAAACTGTGTGTGTATTTATTTATTTATTCTGAACTATAATCTTGAACTCCAGACTAGCTACTTGTAGTTGTATACGATGATATGTTTTAGTCGGGTGTAGCCTATTATTGAGAGTACAAGATTGTAGATTGAAAATTCTATGATTTGAACCATTGAATATTCCAGTTGATTTATATATAATTTCAACTCTTGTACGATGCGGGGGGGGGGGCACTTCACTTTATTTTAAAGCATATAAATTATATCTATGAAAGAAAAGGTTCACTTTGTGGTTTTGGAAATATATCCCTCACTCTGTAGTTCTGGTGGCTACACCTCTCGTACGACCAGCAATTGTAGAAGTGACCAAAATGTACGATAGTTCTGGTGGCTGTAAAGAGTACAGCACTTGAAAGAAAAAATTTTCATATTAGATCAGTTGTTCATCTTCAGACGGCCTTAAATTTCCAACATTTTTGGTGCTGGGAGGAAGCAGGAAACTTTTATGATGCTTGGTCCTTGTGATGTACTCTAATCAATTAAACAGATTAATTTTCTTTTGGGGTAAAGTACTTGGGGATCTGAAAAGTAAGATTTGCTTAAAAAATAAATAACTTGTTTGCTTGTTGTTAAGTGCAAAGCTACACGGGTAACGAAGCGTTGTAAGCTTACATATATTTACCACTGAGCCACTTCAGTGTAAGCTTCATCAGTCTCTTGAAAGTGGCAGACACACTATACAGGCCAAATTGCATGAATCGGGACGCATACAAGTCATATTTCATGTTAAAAGCAGTCTTGGGTCTGTTCTCAGCTTTTTAGTATTTTAATGCCAAGTCTAAAGTGTTTAGAAAATATATAAGGCATCAACTTGAGCTAGCATGTTCATCTATCTAAACTCTTGGCACACCTTTTCCTTCCTGATGATCACTGTAGAGACAGTCAAGTATTTTTTGTACTATACCATCCATTAACATCTGCTGTATCTTCCTACTGCTCTAGGGAAGTCAACATGGTAGTTGCTGGATTGAATATGTATTGCTTATATCAGTCTTGTTGCAAGCCATTGTTGTTAAATTCAATTGGCCAAATACATTAGTTTACTCAACCAATATATCACCGAGTGGCTTTCACTACGTTGGGTGCAGATTGTTTGCACAGTTCTCACCCACCAATCTCATATGTATTGGATGTCATGTACTTGCTTTTGGACACAGCCCAATGGATGCAATCCCAGCATTACTACTAGCCTTAGCTACTTCAACACTGGTGACCATCACAATGTAAAGTTGGATAGCCTATCCTCCATAATTACAAAACATTTATATTTCATTCCTTATTGGACAGATAATGCTGCTTACTTTCTGGACAGGAAAAAGCTTGTTTAATGTGGAGGCTCAGTTTGGCAGACTGGATGGCTCTTCCATGGAACATCAGTTAACCAGTTACACAGGCAAAAACTGGCTAATAGTTTCGATAGCATGTGCATCATGATCATGTTAATGCCAGAATTCAAATCAGAGATTACTAGTTTCATTCTGTGAGTGACATTTTCTAGATACAGCCAAAGACATGCCTCTCCACTCATGTCTAGACTATCAGAACAAAGTTGGTATCCACTGATTAGAGTGGTGACTTCATTTGGAGGGCTTGACATATTGCAAGATTTACCAGTGTTCTGGCTGCTACTGTGTCAACTTGGAATCTCATATATTGTCCTTGTACTATTACAGGCACATATCAAGCTCCACCTAGCCATGGGAGAGTTAGGTTGACCACTGAACTTTTTGGTACAAGCTTTTTGCTATGTTTCCAAAATCAGTGGCCAGGCCAAAACCAGATTAGACTGCAGCATGTCAACAATAGAAAGACTGGTATATCTGATTATTCACTAGAAACTAATGTAGTGCCATCACAGCTCCTGAATATGTGGGTGGCTGATTAACCCTTGGCATGACTTGATCTCAGTGTGATGTATGTACTTGAGTAGAACAGTTCATTTGAGGTGTAGCCACAGCAGCAGCTGCTGTAAGTTTTCTTCATTTTAGTCACTGGTTCCATATTTCTTCACAGAAAATGCTTCTGTAAGAATGATGGCATCCCCCATACCCAGTTTGTTCCTTATTGTCTCGCTTGGAAGTCCTTCAACGAAC